AAAATGCATGTGGGTACTCAAATGAAAGCTCTTGATGAGTATAAAATCAAAATGGGCTTATATTTACGAAAATGTTAATTATTGAAGAATGCCCATTGCATATTGTTAACTAATGAGTTTTTAACATATACAAGCTCATTCCTAAAATTTCTAAATTTAAGACATGTGTACATGACAACGTCTGTCGGTTCCGCTAGTATATATATATATATATATATATAATCTACATATTTTTTTTTGAAAATTTTTAATTATAATTAATTTATAAAAAAAAAATAAATAAAAACATTATAATAATAATTAAAATGAAATATTATTAAAAATAATAAATTAAATTTTTAATAATTAAATATAAAAAGGGTTTATAAAAATATTTTCTTTACAAAAATTTATTAATTTCTAAATTCATTTATTTTGGGAGTGAATGCGGAGTGAATTTTATTGTTAATAAAAATTGATTCCTTCTCGGAGTGAATATCACTCCCGCTGGGAGTGAATCAATTAAAAATCATTCACTCCGCGTTCACTCCGCAAATTTTTTACAGTTTATAGCTCACGGAAAAAAGAAAACTCGAAAAATTACAGTATAAAATGTAATATCGGTCCCGTCGTAATCAAAACTAGAATAATTACAGCTTGAAATAACATTTTTCTAAATTCAATTTTTTTATTCAATATTAAGGAAATCCTTTCGCTCCAGTTGAGTCGAAACAATTGTAGTAGTCAATATACGATAAATTAAAAAAAGAAACCCATAAAAATTCCTAAAATTAAATAATAAATAGTATATGAGGCATTAATCGTTGAAATTTTGAAAATAAAAAAAAAAATAGTTAAATACAAAAATTAATTTGACTCTTTCAAATCAACTGCTAGTAACCTGTCCGTGATTTGGCAACGCTGTATTTCAGTTGTTTACATTTTCATTTGCATAATATAACCTTAACCACGTTTAAGTTTTTGCAGTCAGTGTAAATAAATAAATTAATTTGAATTTATTGAATGGTCTGAAGCTCCCGCAATACGCAACGTTGCCAAATATTTTGACTCCATATATTAATGTAGGTTACTTGAGAATTTTTTGGGATTTTTAAATATTAATTTCTCAATAAATATCTCGGTAACTGATATATTTTATTACAAAAAAAGAAACCTGAATATTTCGAAAATCTAATTTTTAGTTTTTTTTCACTTCATCTAATCCATGACTGATAGTATAATCCGAGAAATACTGCAAACGTCTGACTTTCTCACAAGACTGTGAACAAATACTGACATTTAAAAATTTTATTTTTTCAAAAATTTGACCGGTAAAGTATAATTTAAACCTCACTATTAAATAAATAAGGACCTTAACTATTAGAAAAAAATAGAATTTACTCATAATCTAATATTTTTTATTTTACATTGGCGGCGAAAGGACCTCCTTAAATAAAGAAGATATAAAAAGGACCTCCTTAAAAGCTTTCAATGCAAATATTACATTCTACAATGTAATTCTTATCAAATCTGTAATAATTACAATCTAAAACTGTAATTTTTCCAGTTTTCATCATGAATTCGTTTAAGCATGGCTTAAGCGCCACGTTGCATTATATACTGTAATTTTTCGAGTTTTCTTTTTTCCGTGCTGTCATTGAGATATCATGTATACGTCAACCAGAAAAACATAGTTCTGAGATAAACGCGTTTAAAGTTTTGTTAATTAAAAAAAAAAAATTTTTATAATACTCGCTCCAAAAGTTCAACTTTTGAGCGTTGGGTGGCGTCCATTAAGGGACTCTTTTCTATCAAAGACTCTACCATACCGTCTTTTTTTTACAGCCTAAGCCTAAGTTTTCCTTCTCCTTTTTTTTTTACAGACTTTTCGTGTACCCCCAGACGGAATTAAGAGAGATTGTAAAAAAAAGTCACATTCTAGTGTACTGACACTTATGCGGTGACCTTTTAATTTTAGAACTAAATATTTGTTCGCAATGGAAAAACAATAGAAAACTATCCAATTCAAATCGAACAGTTTCAACAACATAAAAATAGTCAACTGATATACGAAAATTATAGATGCTGTTATATTGCAGGTACGTACGCGAGATTCCATCTTGAAAAATAAGTGGTTTGGATAAAACTTCTACCGGCTGGCCAACGCAGTTCAGAGTGAGAAAGGCAACCATCGTTACACTAGTGACAGCTGCAACTTGTAAAGCCAATAACCTTGTTTTGAATCATCGCATATCTACCTAATGCATTAACTAAAGAACTTAGCTATACCTTGCTTGCAACATCTTGAAAAACAAATTAAATTAAACGAAAATTATTATTGTTGATATTCTTAATCACAAAATTCTAACTTTTAAATTTAATATATTTGATTCGATTTAATAAAAAAAAAAAGCAGATAAAGCAAAATTTTTTGCTTTATAAAGTACATTGTTTTTGTTCCTCTTTCTTTATTCATAAAATTTTACGTAAATCTCCATATTTTATTATTAAATTTTAAGAAATTTCCTCGTTCAAGTCAATAAAAATTTAGTGATGCATTGGAGTCTATACAGCTATAATAGCG